AGACGGCAGAGCAGAACACTGCTTGTCTACTGGGCAAGGGATATGGAGATGGTCTGAGAAGGGGACGTAGGAAGGGTGAGAAAATTGGCCTACACAGTTGTTGCCACAAGGAGGATGCTTAGAGTCGAAGCAGAGTCCTATTCCTGTGAATAGGAAAGACAAACCCCATTTGAACTAACTCCCCTGGAGCTCCAGCTGGTTTTCTTGAGGGGCAGGGGACTGCTAGGCACAACAACCTTTTGCAGGAGGCTGCATTCCATCCCCTGGACAAGGGGACATTCGACTGAAATCATGGCCCTGTGTTACTGAACCGAATGGAATTTGTTTGCGTGCGCTCAACACAAAGCCAAACGCCGAAGCACGGGTCTTTGCAGGAGAGAAACAAGTTTATTCACAAGGTGAACAAGCGAGAAGAGGAGAAACAATTCTCAAACCCGTCTCGTCCAGCGGGAAGGATGGAACATGTCTGGGCAGGAGTCGGCTGGGGTGAGGGTCTGCGCAGGCGCATGCCATCTGCAGGCCTCGCGGGATCAGATCGCGCGAGATCTGGTGGCGGAGCTTGAGACCTTCGAACGGGACTGCGGCCACTTCCGGGGTCTGTGAGCTGGGACGAGCTAACTCCACGGAGCTTGAAATACAGCCTTAGGCACGTCAGAGGCGTTATCTTCAATAGCAGACAGGAGGAAACAGAATGAAAGGTTAGCTGTGGAATTTACTGAAAGAAAGAGCCATTTAAACAGGGAATAAATATTAACAGAAAACCACGGTTCCACCTGCAAGGACAGCTCTGGCGGCCATGATCTGCCATCCATGGAGCTGCCCACTCTGGGCCCTCCCTCATTGTCAGGTTTTCCTGCAGGAGCAATTGCCCCGGCCCTGCTTGGAAATGGGGCACTGCATCGGCTTGTGCCAGCCTATTGCAGTTGAGAAAATAAATGAAAAAGAAGGAAAACCTGAAAGCCAGGAAAGGGAGAAGAGCCCATACCAACTAACAATGAGGACTCACTCTGTGCCAGGCACACGCTTCCCGTGGGCGCCTGAGAGCCACCTAATCCTCCTTACCGCACAACAGTTGGTGTTATTGTGGGCTTTATTTTATTATTTTTTTAAGCTTATTTATTAATACTATTTTTTACATTCTGTGATGATGTTGCAGAGCAGTTGGGGGAGGGGAGAATAAGGGGGGAGGAGGAAGAGGGGTGGGGTTAAGGCCAGTGGCACCCCTCTCATTCCTGCAGGGGAAACCAGGCGGCTTCCAGCGGTGGCTTGGTCATTGCTGGACTGAGTGCAGATGTCAGGTGTGGCTGAAGCTCTCGCCCTCCATCGCCCCTGCTCGGGAGAGCCCAGAGCACTACCTCCAGCAGCTCAGTGGTCATCGATGGGTTGGTTGTGGGTGTCTGGGGGACATGGCTGGGGCCCCCAGCCCTTCCCCCTCTCTGCCTTGGTATCCCAGGGGACTTCCGGTCCTTCTAGGTTTTATAAGTGCTCTTTGGTGGTGTGAGACCTTTACTAGTTAGTAACAAACTTTGTCTCTAGTTGTGGGTATTTTTTCTTCCAGTTCTCTGTTGGATTATTTGCTATTCCCACCACTTAAACTCTGCACTAGAACTAACTTGTTGTCCTTTGCTTACTTCTAAAATGGGAGAACTTCCTGTGGGGACCAGCACTTGAGCTCAGTGGTTGAGCTAAATTGCTGCTGATTCCCTGGGGAAGGCTTTTTGTGCAGCTCAGGTTTTAATTGTTGACCTTTTAAGTACTTCTGGCTCTTGTGAGAGCAGATACACCTGGGTTGTTGGAAACTGCTCTGGCCTGAGTCTTCAGCAAACTGCACCACTTGCAGTTCTGTATTCCTGACCAGTCTCTATTGAGCAGTCCTGTGCTGATTGGGGGGGGCAGATCAGCTGTCCTTGCTGTGCCCCAGTGTTCTCACTGTGGGTCCGTCTCCCCCAGCACCCATGCTCCAAACACTTCCCATGGGACGATGGGCGATGTGCTGGTCCCTTGCAGTGACTCACCAGCCCCTGAGTGGCTCATTTTTTCAGTTGTTGTGGCTCCTCTCTCCTATGTATGTCCATGGGAGCCCTATTAGTGGTCTTGCTAGCCTGGGGAGCCACCAAGGCCCTTTTCTCCACTGCCGCCTGCAAACTACTCCATCTGAAGGTCACAGCTGTGGCTTTAGCCAGCTCCTACTCCATGCGCGCACTAGCTCCAGACTTGAAGCAGCCGGGATTCGGAACAGTCAAAGCAGTTCTTTCTTTCTCTCGTGGCTTCTCCAGCTTTCATGCACTCCATAGGTCTCTCCTCCTCTTCCCCTGAGCTCTAGCCTATTGTTGGCTTTAAACTAGAGAATACACAGGCTGGAGGAGTTAAATGACTTGCCTGGGGACACATAGTTGACTAGTGGCCGGGCTGGTATTCACATCTGAGTCACTCTGACTCCAAAGCTTGTGCACACTAACTACTGTCTCCTCCCCTAGGATTATCTCATTTCACTTGTCTGACAGCCAACTAGTAACTAACGTTCACCTCCCTCACAGCTCATCCTTTCCATTACCATCACCCACACACATTCACACAGATCAAGGCCCTGCTGTCCCTTGGTCAGCAGTCATTCTCTCTGCAGATGTCTGACCCCCTGTTGGTCCTTTAGTCCAACATCCTATCCATGCATCCCACCCATTCAGCCCATAAAGGTGGCCCTTGACAATCCCAAGACTCTTCCCTCTTCCCACCCACTTTTGCTCTAGTCTCATCTCCACTGGGCTCCCAACTCTTGGCTCTAGGACCTGCACCACGACCCCCCAACCCCTCCAGACTTTGTGTTTATGCTGATCTCCCTGGAGCTCACATCCAGTTTCTTCTCCAGGCCTGTTTGGTCCATGCCTCAGGTCCTCCAGTCCCTGCTGCTAAGGAAGCTGATCCTGTCATGTTTGTCTGGCCACCTCCCTGCCCGTGAAGAGCGAAGCTACTCAGCATCTCACGCAAGTCCTCACGGCCTTGACCCTCACTGCTGTCTGTTCAGGGAGCAATAGGTCTAAGAACAGACAGACAAGAAGAAACAAAGGCCAGGGGAGTCAGGGAGGCCCCGAGTCGCTCCCTATAGATAGCCAAAGAAGACAGCTACAGGAACAAGAGATACACAGTGACCAAAGCCATCAGCCCTGTAGAAATCCATGGGAACTAAGGGGCAAGCCCATGGCAGCCTGAAGGATAGCCCCTTCAGCAAGGAGAGGGCCTGGAAGTCACATAGTTGCTCTCCCGGCATTGTTCTGCCACCTTCCTCCCCGTGACTGGAGCCTGCTCTGCTTGTTCTCAGTGCAGGAGAGGACCACATGTCTACAGAACCTGACGCTGAGGGGTGGGGTGGGGGGCGAGTGCTTAGAGGTCACCAAGCACAACCCCTACCCAGTCCACGAAATCACCTTGCTACGACATCTATAAGGGGTTATCCAGCCTTGTTCATTGGATAGCTCAAGTGCCAAGCAGCTGACTACCTCTTTTCTGTTTTCAGACAGCCCTGACCATTAGACAGTTCTTCCTCTACTTGTGCAGTTCTCACCCACCTCTAGTTCTGACCATCTTGCTCAGGTTTATGGAAATGTCTCTTTTTTCCCATATGTCTTCTTCTTTTGAGGCTAAACATTCCCGGGACCTTCAGTAATTCCTCACAGGGTGTTTTCAGGGCCCCAGGTCACCCTAGTGTCTGTCTCTGTGATACCCTCCAGTGTATGGAAGCCCCTTTTAATTTGTAGCACCCAAAAACAAACTCAGTGTTCCAGATGTTGTCTGCCCTCCAAAATACAGGGTGGAATATTTTTCATCCAGGCACCATAATTCTATATATTGTTTCTAATGTCATTGATTATTTTCTGGTTAGTGGATACTTCCAACAAGGTTCCGAGATTTAAATTCAGTTTTCTGGGAGCCGGAACACATTGCTGACTCTCCCAGAGCTACTTAACAATTAAATCCCTTGGTCACGTGTACCTGGACTGCTTTGGGGCCTCATGTCTCCCAGTCTCTACCAGGACAGTTAATGCTTAATGCCTAAATGCAAGACCAGAAAGAGAGAGAGACACGAAAGAAGGAAAGAAACAAACAAACTAGACCACAACAATATGTTGAACTTTCAGAAGGAGAGAACAAACCTAGGGATACTAGAGAAGGGGGTGAGGGTAGGAGTTTGGGGAGTGATAGGTCAGGTAAAGGGCATTAAAAAAATCACAATTTAGGGCCGGCCCCGTGGCGCACTCGGGAGAGTGCAGTGCTGGGAGCACAGCGGCGCTCCCACCGCGGGTTCGGATCCTATATAGGAATGGCCGGGGCGCTCACTGGCTGAGCGCAGTCCGGGCGACACCACACCAAGGGGTGCGATCCCCTTACCGGTCACAAAAACAAACAAACAAACAAAAAATCACAATTTATAATAATTAATATGCTAATAATAAAAACATTTTTAAAGACTTTATATCAATGACATCCCACCTTCCTGAAATCAAGCCCGTATTCTATCTTGCTGAAATTATTTCCTAATTCTGCCATCAAACTCACTTACATACATCTCAACATAAACCTCACATTTAATAAGACCTATAGTCTGAATCTAAGTTATTGATATAAACATTGAACATGACTGTTTAAGATCAAAACTCTACACCATGCATCTAGAAATCTTCCATCTGTCATCCATTTATCAATCAATAATGTTTTACTTTTCATCTTTCAAAAAGTTACAGATTAATCTAACTCATAATTCAATCAGCATTTCTTCATCTTGTCCCTAAGTTATCATAAAAAAGTCTGCTAAATGCCTTCTTACAATCCAGACGTACTGTGTCTATTGTACGCTCCTGATCTCACCTGCCAGTAATCCTATGTAAAAGGGAAATAAAGTTTGTTGGGCACGATTCACAGTGAATTGCTGCTGGCTCCTAGTGAATTTT